TGATGCTCAGGTGCGTCCGCCTCCCCTGCAGCGGTGCTGCAGACCACGCCCCGCCACACACATTAACCAGGTAAAATACATATTTAGGCTGAATTTTGCAAATATCTATTTTTTATTTTTTTTAGCAGCATAGTGCTTTTTTTCCAATTATTTTTTTTAAATGTCAGGTTAAGGCTCCAAAAGCCCAAAGGTGATATAAGCGGGGCAGCTCACAACAGTTTTTGTTTGCTACATGGATCATTTTAGTTCAGCTGGGTGTCTTTCCTTTTGTTATATTTCTTTAAGAGTTTAAAATGTGTAAATAACATAAATAAAATGTAATTTTCTCTGTAGCACTTCATGGATTTAAGCAACACACCTTAGTTGTTTACACAAAGCATAAAGGTAAAAAAAACAATATATACAGTGTTATCTTCATTTTAGATGTCAAAAAGTATTTGCAGCTCCCAGTGTTTTCTTTTGCGTGGAAATCGCGTCCAAATGGCTTTGTTGGGTTCCAGCTTTGATTCGAGTCCAGCTGTGGTGATATCAGTTGATTGTACATGACTTGGTATCCTGTGTATGTAAGATCCCATAGATGGATGTCAGAGCACAAACCTAAGTCATCAAGTCCGAGGAATTCTCTGTACAAACCTGAGACAGGATTGCACCGAGGCACCGATTTTGGGAATGGTATCAAAACATTTCTGCAACGCTAAAGGTCCCAATGAGCACAGTGGCCTCTATTTTTTGTAAATGGAAGCACTTTGGAAGTTTCATATAGGGCATTAATGTTAGAAAATATGGAACAAGTGAAACGCTGTTGTTACAGCCTGGCTCCAAATCTGCAACGTAAATATGGAGACTAACACATTTGACAAAGATTAGGTTTTATTTTCAATTATATAATATGTTAGCTAACATAGTTGGTTCCACTTAGACAAAGACTGATGTGCCTCCTCAAAAGCCTGCAAACAGCTGAACGCTCTTGCACTGCCACTGCAAAGAGAATAGGGGTTGCAGAGGGTGTAATGCTGAGAATACTTTCTGGATGCAGTGCATCCCAAAAAGAACGCAGTCCTTAAGTTAAAGGGGGGTCCAGCCCAGTACTAGGATGATGTAACTAATGAAACAGGCAGGGAATGCATGGTGAGTGAATTTGTATAATTACTACTTTTTGGGATAATATCAATGGAAGATTCAAAAAGAAATGCTGTCATGCAGTGGACATCTGGACAGATGTATCCACGAGAAGCACTGCCTGACAAATGTTGCTCATTTGTTTTATGAACACATTTTCATGCTATATTTGGAACTAGAAAGCTAAAAAAAAGAAATATCTAAAGTAAAGCGTTTAGACACAGACACAAATGACATATTCATCTATAAGATCAGATATAACATCAGTGTCTTTTCTCTTAATATGAACTTTAATAGAAATAAAAACGTTGACAATAGTATTTTGATTGTGTTTCTGACAAATGTGTGGTGTCGGACAGTGTGTGGGAGCTGTTTCACATTTATAGTCTTGTTATGGTAACAGACTGGCACAGAGGGCTGATGCCAAGAATAGAGTAGCACAGTCTGGCACACAATCACACTGCAAACAGAATATGAAATTAAATATTTTCTCGTTGTTGTCTTCCAGCTCATGTGAACACCTTCTCGGTTTTTTTCATCCCTCTGCTTCCCTCGTCTCTCTCCAAACCCCTCCGTCATCGCTGACTCACCTCATCTCTCATCTCTGCCCTATGTTTTGATTTGTTCCACTCCAGTGAGCCTTTACTTGCACAAAACACAAATTTAAAAGGCAATGAAACCAGGTAACCAAACAGTACATGTTTGGCATTGAGACAGAGTGCAGGAGTGACATCGACAAATGACCCACTGACAGAAGTGATCTATAACATTTTTTGTTTTTGTTATTTATGGCAAAGGCTCCTTCAGCTCTTTTTATTACTAATCTGATCAATATTTTGTTGTCGGTTTTGTTTCTTTGGAAAGTCAAAAAACGGTCGAGAAATGACACTTGGTGGTCATCTGTAATTCAGTGTTTATGGCATGGCATTTAATAAGAAAACAGTTGTATTTATACAGGGTCAAATCACAATAACAGTTGCCTCAGGGAGCTGGACTGCTAATCTGGGATTTCCCAGTGGGTCAATGTGCTTGTAGGTCGATGGGTCAATATAATTCTTCTTTTATGCTTTGCCGATTATACAGGCCCGCTTGAAGTGCCGCTGCGCACTGGGCCTACCAGCACAGACAGCAGCCCATTGGTTCATGTTTTTTTACTGATGCTGGATTGTCCAATCAAAACCTTTAATGCAATTTGCCTCACTTAACTATGGAAACCTGTTTCCGCCACAAAAACAAAGTATCCCTAACTCAAAATTTCGACTTATTAACTCAAAATTTTGAGAAAAGTAACTCGAATTTTGAGTTAGCTCTGCCAATCAGTCATCTACATGAATGATGTCATTTCCTTGTTACCCAGAAGCTGGAGCCCTCAGCTACATGTGCTACAGCTAAGCTACCAGTATTACAGCCAGTCATGAATGCACAAATTTTCAGCGTGGCTTCACAATTGATGAAATCCCCGTGTTATTAGCTGAATCACATGGCATTACTATCAGCAAACGTACTCTCGAAAGCGTGTACGTTGAGTGTACATTCCTCTGCGCCGTATCCTTCCGGGTAACATGAAAATGGCATCCTTCACATAGAACAGATTGGCAGAGCTAACTCAAAATTTCGACTTATTAACTCGAAATTTTGAGTTATGATACTTTATTTTGTGTGTGTGGCAGAAACTCTGCACCTTGTGGAGCAGAGTTTAGTGAGGAAGAAGCGGTTGATAAAGATGGACAAATAAAAGTGAAATGATGGAGCTGAAAAGCTGAGAGAGAATTGTATTGTATCTTTATTTATTTCAGACATATACAGAAAAAAA